ACCAGCCCAGGTTTGCTCCAAGCCCCATCCAACCTGACCTTGGACACTTCCAGGGATCCAGGGGCAGCCACAGCTTCTCTGGGAATTCCATCCCAGGCCCTCACCACCTTCACAGCCAAGAACTCCTTCCCAATATCCCATCTAGCCCTGCCTTCCTTCAATTTACAGCCATTGCCCTTGTCCCAGGACCTTCTGCAGATTTCCTGGAGCCCCTTTTAGGTACTGGAAGGTGCTCTGAGGTCACACCAAGAACAATCATCCTTCAAGGTCTCCCAGAAGGAATTCCCAGTGCTGAGGTGTGTGCCAGGTCCCAGAGCACACCCCAGGATGGTGCCATTAACCACCTTGCCTTGTTTCTGTTGTGCCGTTTTCCAAGTGAATCCTTTCACGTTATAGCCTGCTGGGGAGACCTCCTGGCTCATCTGCAAATGTTCCTCTGCTTTATGTCATTTAAATCCTAACTTGGACTGTCAAAATCAGGTGATTTTTCACCCCATTTTTGCTTTGGGTGTTGTTAAGATGTGCAGTTTTCCATCTGCTCCCCCCTGTTAACGTGGATTTCCACTGCAGAGTGTGTTTACACTGAAAAGTCAGGCACTTTGTGCTGGATTTTTCAAATATTGCAGTAACTCAGGTTATTTTATGCCCCTGCTTGCACAACCAAACAGGAAACAAAACCCTTCCTGCATCACATTCACTCAGGTGGGTAAAATAAATAGAATCTCTGTGGTTTGCACGGTCCAGGAACACAATAAATGAATATTTTCTTCGTTGTGATTGACAGGGCCAGTGGAAAATATTCCTTGAAAGGTTTCCATCGGGATATTTTCCCTTTATTTTACAAGTCCCCCCCACTCCCTGTTCACAGGGACAAATTGCCACCTCAGCACTGCAGGCTGAACACCCCTCATAAAGATCTTTTTCATTAACACATGACATGGATTTGGAGTTGTTTTCCAGGACTGACCTGCCTGTTTGGATTTCAGCTTCCGTGGAAAAAGTGATTTTTGGAGCAGCTGCAGAAAACACACGAGCTGAATGCACGGCAAACGTGCAGGAACACGGCCCAGAAACCACGTGGTGGCAGATGGATGGGAAAAGTTAATGGAGCTGCTGGGTTAATTAATCAAGCCCCAATGAGCTGCACTGGAAAGGTGTGGAGGATCCCAACCTAACGCTTCCCATCTGGATTTTCCCCCCCAGGTTTCTACATGTACATCGAGACGTCCCGGCCCAGGCTGGAGGGGGAGAAGGCCAGGCTGGTCAGTCCCGTGTTCAGCGTCGCTCCCAAAAACCCCTACGGAGCCACCAACACGGCCTACTGCTTCAGCTTCTACTATCACATGTATGGACAGCACATAGGTGAGAGAAAGCCAGGGAGCTCTGGGGGGACAGACCTGCGGGAAAACACCGGGAAAAGGGGCCTCTCCTGGGGGAAGGGAAAGCGTGGGGGGAGTCCCGACACCCTCCAGGGCCGGTGGCAGCGTGAAACAGGGGCCTGGGAGCGTCCAAATGGCAGCAAAATTCCACTTTCCGCTGATCAGGAACTCACAGGAGCCCCTCTGGCAGCTGGGGAGAGTTTCCTGCACGAGTCAGGTTTTGAGGAGGAGATTTTCCGAGTTGTTGCAAAATTCCAATTTCCGAGTTATTGCAAAATTCCAATTTCCATGAATCATGAACGTGCAGGGGTCCCTCTTATATCTGGGAAGCATTTCCTGTGTGAATGAGCTATTAAACAGGGGGTTTTCCAAATTATTGCCAAATTCTAGTTTCCACTGATCAGGAGCTCACAGGAGCACCTCTTGGAGCTAGGAAAAGTTTCCTACATGAATGAGGTATTAAACAGGGAATTTTCCATATTGTTGCAAAATCCCAATTTTCACTGATCAGTAACTCACAGGAGCCCCTTTTAGAGCTGGGAAGTGTTTCCTGCATGAGGTTTTGAGTAGGAAAATTTCCAAATGATTGCAAAATTCCAATTTCCACTGACCAGGAATTCACAGGAGCCCCTCTTATATCTGGGAAGTTTCCTGCATGAGTGAGGTTTTGAGCAGGGAGTTTTCCAAATTGTAGCAAAATCCAATTTCCACTGATCAGGAACTCACAGGAGCCCCTCTGACAGCTGGGGAGAGCTTCCCATATGAAAGAGGTTATGAGGAGGGAATTTTCCAAATTAGTGCAAAATTCCAATTTCCAAATTACTGCAAAGTTCCAATTTTCACTAATCAGGAATTCACAGGAACCCCTCTTATATCTGGGAAGTGTTTCCTGCACGAGTCAGGTTTTGAGCAGGGAATTTCAGGGCCTGAAAAGACAGAGTGTGGTGTTAGCAAGGACTTTTCTTGCTGTACAGGAGTGTTTTGAGCCATTCCTGACCAAACTGAGGAGCAGGGAGGCAGCAGCACATTCCTGCTGGGCTGGCTCCCTGGGAGATGCAGCAGCACATCTTCCTCTGTCCGAGTCAGGAACAATTTGCTCACGAGCCGTAGAAATCCCTGGTTTTTTCAAGGGTTATCTCTATACCTATTTTTAGTTCCAGCTCTTTCAACACTCACAGCTTTCATTTCTTCCCGTGGTCTGAAAGCAAAAAAAAAAAAAACCTGGGGGAAAATATAAAAGTCTAAAGCGAAGACAACCAATTTTTCCAAGTCCTCAGAACCCCCACGGGCTGCTCAGGGTGTCAAGAGCCTTTCCAGAGTCAAACTGACCTGACTGGGTGGATTTTTATATACATTTCAAGGGCAAACCCATCCTCCCAGTGCAGTCTGGTGGTGGCTCTGTCAGAGCTCCTCCTGTCCCCAGGCTGAGCTGGGATTTTAAACGGAGCAGACAAGTTCACTTGTGGTTTTTTTTTCTGTTGTCTCTGCGCTGTGAGAAGGTGGATGCAGCCCCAGGTTGGAATTCTCCTGGCTCTGGGTTGCAGCAGGAACTGGGCTTTTATTGGAAGGGAGTGATTGAGTCTGACATGCTTAGGGAAAATATGTAAACTGCTTCATATGGGCATATTCTGGGGGAGCTCTGGTTAAATTTTGGTCATATTCTGGTCAGATTCTGTTAAATTCTGGTTATATTGTGGTCATATTCTGGTTGAATTCTGGTCATATTCTGCTAAATTCCTGTCATTGGTTACATTCTGGCCACGTTCTGGTTGAATTCTGGTCATATTCTGGCTGTATTCTGGTCATATCAGCCTCTTTCTGGTATATGACCACAAAGAGTAAATTCGGAACATAAAAGGGGCCAAGAGAGTTCCTGGAACACCTGATAAAGTATTTGAGTTGTAAAGTAAAGGGTTGGGATAAAGAATAAGAAAAACAGGCATTTAGGATGAAGTCTGTCCACAAAGCAGTGATTTTGGGTGTGATTTGGGATATTTTTCCTGTATTACCTTTTCAGTAATATCTGTCTGTAGCTTTTTTTTTGCTGAGATCACCTTTTTCCTGTTGAAAAGGAAGGGTCCCCCTGGAAGGAACCTTAAAGCCCATCTTGTCCCACCTCCTGCCATGGGCAGGGACAGCTTCCACTAGAACTGCTTTACTCAGAACCCCATCCAGCTTTTCTATAAAATTACACATTATTCTGTCTTCAAGGAGCAAACTGACAGACAAACAGTGAATTAATACCATCAACCATGTGTTTGATGGGTTCATTCAAAATTTTAATTCCTAAGAGTGGCAAAACCGAGGGAAACACGTGAAATAAATGATGAAGTGAGAAAATATAGAAACCATTTGGTTGGCCAGAGGTGAAATCTGTCCCTGATGTTGTTCCCATGAGGAAGTGTCCAAGGTCAGGTTGGAGCACCCTGGGCTGGTGGAAGGTGTCCCTGCCCATGGCAGGGGCTTGCAAACTGATCGTCTTTAAAGGTCCCTTCCAACCCAAACCATCCTGTGATTATAATATAATTAGTATAATAAATATAAATATAGTTATAAATTAGTGTAAGAATTTAGACAACTCAATTCCAATTAAACATTTATTAAGCAAGCAATAATAAAGCAAAGACAGCGCTGGGTGGCCTGGAGGGCAAGTGCCCCGCCCGAGACACACACCAAAATGTAGGAAATGTCCCTTTTCATACATTTTTAAGTTCCAGGTTTTGAATGCAAATTCGTTGTGGCTTGAGTTCGTGGCTCGCTGTTAAGTGGTCATCTGGCATTTGTCAGGGATGAAAGGTGCAGTTCTTATCAGCTGTAAATTTTACCGACACTGACACTCGTTTGTTTAACAGGATGTCTGTGAAACTTATCGTGTTTAATTATAACAAAAGTTTCTTATTCTCTTATACACATAAGATTTTTATGAACAAAGTTAACCCTTCTATTATAAATATAAATATAAAAATATATAAATATAAAATATATAAATATAAATATAAATATGTTTGGGAGAGAAATGTTGCCCAGCAGCCTGCCCAGCCCAGCCCTGTGTCACCCCCCAGCCTGGGCTGCAGGGAACCCTTGGCAAACCCTTTTTGGTTTAGGTCTCTTCCTTTCCTCTGCCCCCTCCCCTGCATTCCCAAGCTGGAATTCCACAGTGGGAGCTCCCCCAGGGAAGATGTGAGGCCTTGTTCCAGGCCCCCTGGTGAAGGAGCTGGGAGGGGAATATTTGCTGCTCCATTACATGGGGTTTTTGATGTTTTTCAAGGCCCTGAGTTTGGCTCTTGCTGGAAATAAGAGGTTCTCATGAGCAGGAGCTGAGTCACCGTGCAGCTGCCTCCGAGCTGAGAGCTTGCCTGGCAAATACATTTGTGTGAGCTTCCCAGCTGCCAGGCCAAGCCCCCTAAAAAAACCCCTGCTCTTGTGTGAGCTGGACTGCCTGAACCTTCTCAGATCAAGGGATATGTAAGGACTTACAGAGCAAACAGAGGCACCGCTGCCCCCCACGTCTGAAAACAACAACAACAGGGGGCAAATGGGACCAAACCCTCAGAATTATGGGAATTGCTGGCCCCTGACAAATGAAATCGAGGTGTTTTCTGTCCCTCTGGTCCTACCAGCCCGTTTCTGGTAGATGACCATGAAGAGCAAATTCAGAATACGAAGGGGCCAAGAGTGTTTCTGGAACACCTGATGAAGTATTTGGGTTGTAAAGTAAATGGTTGGGATAAAGTGCAAGAAAAACAGGCACTGAGGGTGAAGGCTGTCCACAAAGCACCCCACTTCTAATAAAGAAATCATTATTATGATCTCCACTGCCCTTCCAGCCCCTTTGAAATGGGACACACATTTCAGGACTTATTAAGATGAGAGGACTGAGAGGTAAACACGACTCCCAGAAGGGTTGTGTAGTTCTCAGCCTTCCCAAGTTGAAAAGGCTTTGAATATATGACAAGAAACCTTCCCCAACCCACCCAGACCCAGAAAAAACTGGGAATGGGGGTGAGGAAGGGGCCCCTGCTGTGCCCACCTTCCATGGGACAGCCTGACCAACTGCACATCTCCTGTTTTCCAGGAAGCCTGAACGTTTACCTGAGGCTGAAAGGTCAGACTGCGATAGAGAACCCCTTGTGGTCCTCGAGTGGGAACAAAGGCCAGCACTGGAACCAAGCCCGTGTGAACATCAACCCCCCCACCTCATTCCAGGTAACACCTCCAGCTCTGGGAACGGGAGGAGCCGGTTGGGGAAGTTTGGGAGGGGGGGAATGTGCCCTCTGCCCCTTCCCTGGTGACCCAGCATCTCGCAGCTTCTTCTCACCTCTGAAAGCTGCTTTGTGTCCAGATAATTGCTTTGTGAGCACCAGGAGCTCAGCAGTGCCACAGAGAGCACAGCAGCTCTTTGCTTGCAGGCAGAATATCCCTCAACTTGCAGGAGAGGCTGGTGGTGGTGGAAAACGTGGTTTCATTTCAGAAGATTAAACTTGCTCGCTGTGAGAAATTATTTAGGGCCCGTGCAGAGCGTCTGTGTTAAAGGTCTCTGGAAATGAGTGTGTTTTGTGCAGAGGGGATGATTTGAGAGCCTTTGCTGGGAGGCAGCAAAGCATCTGTGCTGCCCACCCAGAGCCCCTGGTGAACGAGGCACGGGCGAGCTCTTGGACGGCTTTTCACACGTGTCACGTTGGGTTTGACAGTGAGATGCTGATAGACTGTTACAGGCAGTTCTCATCCACCCTCAGAGCTGTCTGGAGCTGGAGCAGACCCAACAAAAGCAGCTGCTGGGAGCAGCCTTTGCGTGTGAGAGGTGGGAGCGTGGTCATGGAACGCCAGAGCCACCAGCCCTGCGGTGGGATGGGTCCTCTGTCCCCTCCCTGTCACCTCCAGGAGCCCCAGGGCACAGAGTGGGGTTTGGGGAAAACAGTCACAGAATCCCAGACTGGTTTGGGTTGGAAGGGACCTCAAAGCCCATCCAGTGCCACTCCTGCCATGGGCAGGGACACCTTCCACCAGCCCAGGGTGCTCCAAGCCCCGTCCAACCTGGCCTTGGAAAAGTCCCCCAGTGCAAGTCAAAACTCCCATATAAACATGAACATTGGGATTCACCTCCTGGACAGTTCCTGGTTCTGACCCTGTGTTTTTATTTATAAATAAATGTGTAATTATTTATAAATAAAAGCTATAAATAAATGTATATTTATTTATGTATGGAGGCATTGACAGGAAGGAAATGATTTGGCACATGGGGTTGCAGAGCATTGGATGGAGGGGAATCAGAGGAAAACTGAAGGGGAGGGAACTGTGAAGTGTAGTGATACAAGATAGAGAGCTGGGGGGGGTCTCCTGGAGAAGAGAAGGATCCAGGGAGACCTGAGAGCCCCTTGCAGGGCCTAAAGGGGCTCCAGGAGAGCTGGAGAGGGACTGGGGACAAGGGATGGAGGGACAGGACACAGGGAATGGCTTTGAGCAGGAAAAAGGGAGATTTAGGTGGGAGATTGGGAAGGAATTGCTGGCTGGGAGGGTGGGCAGGCCCTGGCACAGGTTGCCCAGAGAAGCTGTGGCTGCCCCTGGATCCCTGGAAGTGTCCAAGGCCAGGTTGGAGCACCCTGGGCTGGTGGAAGGTGTCCCTGCCCATGGCAGGGGTGGCACTGGATGGGCTTTGAGGTCCTTCCAACCCAAACCATTCCAGGATTCTGTGATGTTTGAGGGGAACAAAGAGGCAGAATTGGGGCAGGAAAGGGCAGAGAGGAGGGATCTGAGTGTTAGAGCACAAATGGGGTGAAGTCCAAGGAGCTGCTCAGAGTTGTTGAGTTTGGCACTGGTGAAGTTGGGATAAATCCAAGAAATATGAACAGTGATGGAGAGAGAAATTATTTCATACCTGAACATAATAAATGGCCTGGGAAAGGGAGTGAAGAGGTGGCTTTTGGAATGCTGTGTTGGAGGTGAGCAGGGCTGTTGGTGCTCCCTGTGCGAGCTCAGAGCCAGCCCAGGGGCTGTCCCAGCCTGAGGCTCCCGTTGTGCTGCAGCCCCAATTAATGATCAGCAGTTAATTAATGACCCCTGGCCGTGGGGGCTGACGGAGATGAGGTTGGACGAGGGTTTTTGGGATGTCCTGGGCAGGGCCAGGAGTTGGACTGGATGATCCTTGGGGGTTCTTTCCACCTCAGGACATCCCATGATTCCATTAATGGTTCTGTGATTCCATAAATGACTGGGGAAGCTGAAACCAAAGTAATTTGAGGGATCTGAGAGGGCTTCTGGAGACCCCAGGGGTCACTTCTGCATCTGGTTCACCTCCCTGGCATTGCTTTGAACCCACGTTGTCACTCCCTGGATCTCCAAGCGAAGCTCCTCTCCTTGGCTGTTTTTCCCCTTTTACCTTGTTGTGTTTAAAGGCCTCAGCATAAAATAAATGGAAAGCCACGAAGCTCTGCCCAAATATAACAAATAAATGTCAGAGTGCTTGGAACCTTAAATTACGTTTTTGAGCAGCTCATGCATCGAGCAAACTTCATTTTCCATTTAGGAGTCTAAGTAGGAAAGAATATAAACCTCCCAGTTAAGTTTAAGGAGAGGGAATTGAAGTGAATCCTTGCAGTAAAACAGTGAACTGACATGGAAATTAAAACTTTTTATAGGTTAATTTATAGGGCTAAAAGATTTTATACCTTCTCAGTCCCTGTGATGAAGAACAAACCTTCTGTCATGAGGAACTGGGAGGACTGCAGTGCTTTGAATCACGAAATGATTGCATAAATCTGTCTCAGATGTTCCCTTTTTGAGTGTTTTTAAGGAATGAACACCAAAAATACGGAGAGCATAGGAAGGGGCCGGTTTTGGTTCAGAGCTGAGCAGTAGGATATGGGCATTATCTGGATGATTGTGACTGGATTTATTGCTGATACAGTCTCTAAATATTGCCAACACTCATATTATGTGAGTTACATAGAATATAATTTTATATATAATTTATATATAATTAGATACTAATTATATTGAGATAGATATATATCTATCTTGGTCCCAGAGCACCAAAGCCTCAGGCACGGGGTGGGAGTGCTGGGGTGTCCTGGACAGGGCCAGGGCTTGGACTTGATGATCCTTTTGTGGATCCATTCCCACTCAGGGCATTCCATGAGCTGTGGAGCTGCTTTAGGATTTTATCTCCTTGTTTGTCCTGATCTCAACAATTTCACTCACCCACCCAAAGAAGTGTTCCCCATCGTCAGGCTGGATATCCCTGACAGGGGGAATCCACCCAGAAGCTGCCTGGAACCTCTGGCAGACCAGTTTTCCCAGTTATCCCAGTCTCCAGCAGCATTTCAACCCCTTTTGCAGGTCCCTGTGCCCCAAAGTCAGTGGAAAGCTCTCAGCTCCCCATCTCTGGATGCATCGCTGATGAGAAACCCCAGACAGCTCCTCCTGCAACACCCACCTGGTGGGACAACCCCCAGGAACCAGCAGGGAAAGGGAGAAGGGCTGGGAGGGGAGGGGAGGGGAGCACACCAGGCAAGACCCAACTCCCTTTTGTGTCATCCCAGAAGCTCCTCTGCTTCATGGTTGGAGCCTGGCCTGGAAGATAAAGATCTGTCTGAAGTCCTGGGGAAGAATCATGGAATGGTTTGGGTTGGAAGGGACCTTAAAAACCACCTTGTTCCACCCCCAGCCATGGGCAGGGACACCTCCCACCAGCCCAGCTTGCTCCAAGCCCTGTCCAACCCGGCCTTGGACACTCCCAGGGAAGAAGCCCGAGCTGAATCCCACAGGGACACTCAGGACAGGCCTTGTAGGGTCGTATTTCCATCCCCCTGTTAAGTCTTTGGTGTGCCCCTGAGCCCCTCTATTCTCCAGCTAAATTTCAGTATTTTTACCAGCTTTGTAAAGCCACAGACATGCAGATAACGTTTTTTTGGGGGGGATATTGATACAGGATTCTGATCACCTGGCAGCTCCCGCTCCGTGCTGTGCCAACACTCCTCTGAGTGGATTGTTCTGAGTGTGTGGCCAGGCTGGCTGATGGCAGCCCATCCCTGAGGGCCACAAACCACGCTGCCAAATGCAGAGTTTAATTAAATGCTGCCTGTTGTCTTTTATAGAGAGTCCTTTTGTCTGGAAACGGTGCTTTTCGTTGTCAGGGAAAATCTGACTTTTAACCCCATTGACTGGGGCTGTGCCTGCTGCCCAGGAGCAGGAAAGGGAGATGTGCTTTGGTAGTGGGGGGAAGAGAACTTTCTTTTTGAGCTGGAAACTTCCCATCATCACTGGCAGAGTCAAAAAATTGTCAGAGGGATAATTACTCAAGACAGTGTTTTCAGACAACAGGGTAAATGATGGAAAAACTTGTTGTTTTCCCTGTGATTCCCTGTTGCATTAATATCCACCCTGTTTTAGTAATTAACCTGCAGCATCTCACAGTGATAAAGCACTGCTGGAGTCTCCTGCTCCGAATGCAGGATCCTTGTGGTTATTTGGTGCTCCCAGCACAGCCCTGTCACCTGGCTCAGGACACCCCAGGGAGGCTGCAAATGCACCTCTTTTATCACAGCTTATCCCTGCAGGGTCAGGGACCTCTGGGGCTGCTCAGCTTGGCAAAACAAGGAGATAATTGGATATCAGGAGAAATTCCTTCCTGGAAAGGGTTCTCCAGCCCTCCACAGGCTGCCCAGGGCAGGATGGAGTCCCCAGCCCTGGGGGGATTTCCAAGCCCTGCGGATGTGGCACTTGGGGACGTGGGGCAGTGGTGGCCTGGGCAGTGCTGGGAGATGGTTGGACTCAATAACACCAGAGTTTTTTGCAAGCCTGAATGATCCCACAGGATTCTGTGTGTCCATGGCCGAGGCTGAGGGACCTTTTCCTCTGTGCCAAGGCAGAGCAGAGAACCACGTGTGGGGTGGGATGTCTGGTGGCATCGTGCACCATCCATGGGTTCTGTGCATCCATCTGGTGATTTACAGGATCATCTGCCACTGCCCTGAGTGTGGACTCAGCATTTGCAGTGAAAAGGATTCATTTCAAACCACCAGCTCTGGCTGAGCTGTATTAATGGACGAACACAGGTTGGAAGCTGCTGACAGCAGAGGCAGAATGAGGCCAGTTTTCTGCAGAATCATTCAAGCAGCAGAGTGGCAGGAGAACAGCACATCAGGGTTGGGGAAGGAGAGCAGAGAGCTTTGTTTCTTTAGTACAATAATAATTCCCAGATAATGAACATTACAATAAATAATATTATTGACCTTGCAACAAGCCAACCCTTTCCAGACAGGCTCCATTTCCCTTCCCAGCTGTAGCGGTTGAGTTTCAGACAAGGGATGTTTGACAGAAAATGGTTCATAGGACCTTAAAATTCCAATTCAGCAGGGGTTAAAGCCTTAAAGTGGAGTAAAATCTTTACCCTGCCCCTCTCTCTGATAAAATTCAGCACAACATCCTCTGACAAAAGCATTCCTAGAAGGGGTCAAAGCTTCCAGACATGCGGATGAGCCACTGAAAGATCACATGCTGGCCAAAGTACATCCCAGCATGGAATTTAATTCCCTGACATGAAAGGAGGTTACTTACAGGTGCCTCCATTTAAAGGAAAGTGCTTTTTGTTCTGGTTGGTTGAAGTGGTTTTTTTGCACCACAGAAAGTGGTTGGAAATCATTCCAAGCCCCTCCAGGTGGTTCAGTGCTGTGGCAAACACACCTGAAGGTTTCCCACTCGGCACCCTCTGACCTTCTCCTTCTTCTTCCTTGCTCTGCAGCTCATCTTTGAGGGGATCCGTGGCCCTGGCATCGAAGGGGACATTGCTATTGATGACGTGTCCATCGTGGAAGGAGAGTGCATGAAGTCAGACCAGCCGGCCAACAGTAAGTGGTTCTGCTCCAGGGGAGGGGCAGCAAGGTCCTTCTGCTGCTTGTTTATCTGAAACAACTTCCAAAGTGAAGTTTTTTCCCAGGAGAACAACATCTGGTTTGGTTGGAGAGGCTTAAATTGGAATGGTTTCCTTGGCAGTGGCTTTGTTCAGGTAGTGGTTGAGCAGGGGGGCCTGTGGAAGGCTGAGGGGTGGTGGGCACAGAGAGCAGTGGGTGACTCCACGTTGGGCTGGGCTGGGCAGCCACAATTTTTTTTGCAGGAGAACAACATCTGGTTTGGTTGGAGAGGCTTAAATTGTAGTGTTTTCCTTGGCAGTGGCTTTGTTCAGGTAGTGGTTGAGCAGAGATGCCAGTGAAAGGCTGGTGGGTGTTGGGCAGAGAGAGCAGCGGGTGACTCTCCACGGTGGGCTGGGCTGGGCAGCCACAATTTTTTCCAGGAGAACAATACCTGGTTTGCTTGGAGAGGCTTAAATTGGAGTGTTTTCCTTGGAAATACTTTTTTCAGAAGGAAAAATGCTGGCTGAGTGGAGATGCCAGTGAAAAGGTGTTGGGCAGAGAGAGCAGAGAATGACTCTCCACAGTGGGCTGGGCAGCCATGATTTTTTCCAGGAGAACAATACCTGGTTTGGTTGGAGAGGCTTAAATTGGAATGTTTTCCTTGGCAATGGCTTTGTTCAGGTAGTGGTTGAGCAGAGATGCCAGGTGGGGGTGCTGGACAGAGGTGAGAACACTGAGTGACTCCATGGTGGGTTGGGCTGTGCAACCAGGATTTGAGATAGTCAGACACATAAAGCAACATTAAAAACATATTCAGAGGGCCCATACGATATAAAAATCATGAAAATCACTGTTGTGATTCCCTGTGGACCTTCTTTCATCCCTCCACCCCCATGAGTGCGTTGCAGAGACTGGAACTGTGCAGGTGGATTTTCATCCCGATGTCTCTGCCCTATCTAGTTGTGAGGTGGTGGCTGAGCCCTCAATTTCCTAAGCCTTGTAGAGTTCTGAGTGTGTCTGGGCAGCTCTTTAATTGTCCTTTTTCCCCTCCTCTCTGTAGATTTACGATCAGGTGCTGTTGGGACATTATCACATATACGACTCCTCCCACTTCTCATCCTCATGTCTGTCTTAAGTCATCAGAGGTGACCTTATCCTGGCAGAGGCTACAAAAGATTCACCAGGCACTGGGCATGAAGAAAGAGTCTTTGTAAAATGGACATTTAAAAACAAACTACCAAAGATTCCTCCACTGACTGACTCGAAAGTTAAATAAATACGTAAATAAATAATTAAAAAAATAAACGAACGGACGAACAAAGGTAATTAAGAAAGCACTGGGGACATAAAAGGCATCACGGGAGTGTAACTCACCACGAGCCACGTGTGAGGACGGGATCTGGCCTGAGGAAGGAAGAGACCTTCAGGTGCTTTTGTGGTCAATAATGAATTCAGCATCGTCTGGTTGAACTCTGGGCAAAGAGCTATAGAAACCCTTGTCAAAGCACAAAGTCATGGCTGGTTTTGTTTCAAATGAATAGTTTGCTTGTTACCATGGAAACCTAATGGCCTGCCAAAAACAACGAAAAAGGAGAGAGGAAATAAA